TAAGTGACTTATATTGCTGACTTTTAATGATATTCTTCAGTTTTGAGAGTAAATTATAGGTATTGTCAGTATTGAGTGTACATTTCAGATATGCTTTAGTGATGGGAGTACTTTTCAAATAACGGCAAACAAAACTCAATATTTTACGAAAAAAGTTTTTGTGACATCTTGAATTTTGTTTGGCATTATTTGAGAAAAAATTACTTACCCAGCTTCATAATTCGGACAATTCTGACCTTCTATGAAAATGATATATCAAATATTTGTTTAGATAAGTAATATTGTTAGAGTTCCCTCTTTTTTCATCACATCTTTTTTTTAAGTTATATTAATATCTTGTTAGCTCTATAAACTATTGCTGTCATACTGAACTTTTCACAACGCCTATTTTTTTAGATATTGTGAACATTGATGGTCTTGGTCTACCAGACAAAAGTGAACCTCTGTTGCACTGTCACAATGCCCATCTCAATTTGATCGTGTTTGGCTAATTGTGTTACTCTACATAACCGTAACAATTGCCACATTTTTTTTAAATTAGTTTTTTATAAATTTACTTATTTGTTTTGTCAGAAAAATTGCATGTTTCGTGACAGATAATGTTTACATGATCAAGAAAATATTTACAAGTCAAGAAGACAATAAGCTGAATGAATAAAAAACATTTGCTCACAAGGTTGAATGAATAACAAAAAAAGCATTTGCGCACAAGCAATTTCTTTAAATAAAAGTAAAAACAATAAGCAAATGCTCACAGCAAAAGCAACTGCTGAAAAATACCTGAATAAAGTTTAACTTTTCTTATAAGCATTTGTTTCTGCTTCAAAGTAAAACCTCTATAAAACCAATAAAAATCGTTGAATTATATGCAAAAAAATTTGAAAACTAGCGTGAGGCAATTTTACGGAATGAGGGGGGGGGGGGGTGTGTGGAGGGGGAAAGATAAATGATAAATGGCGAGTAGTTTCGCAAAGATAACAGGATTTAAAGGCTGCGTATTCAAATTTAAAGACAACGAATGAATTAAAGTCTATAGGAAAAGAGTTTTTTACTGAAAAGATTGCGTTTAATTTTTGTTTGTTTAAATCAGATTTTCCAATGTAAGGAAGTTTAAAATATTGACAATTCTGTAGGTTTTTGCAATGAAATGTCGACATTTGTGTATGGTATGTTATAACGCTGTTTATTTTATAAGCTCTATCAACACCAATTGTGGAATTAATAAATTTTATATTTTATATGATGTATTTGAACAAATATGGATTGGATGTATGCTGAAATAAATATGTTGATACACGTTAGCTATTAAAGTAAATCCATATATTCCTTTATTGTTTTTTTATAAACAAGTTTCTGCTGGATTACTAATTTAAAAAAAGGTTGGTTTAATAATAATCTTTATCATAATAATATAGGATCCGTATGCAGGGCTAAGCCCTTTTCGAAATTGCGATATATTTTTCAACTTATAGTTTTTCCGGATATCCAACTTCTATGCCTACAAGTTTGGGTGTAATATTTTAGATGTTTTAAAAATATTTAAAAAGTATATTGATAATATTGAAAAGTTTAGGTGCGATAGTGACATATTTTTAAGCTCTTCACTCAGTAAAATGAAAAGTTTAAAAAAAAAAGAAACGACTCAGCTTAAAGCAAAATTAAGAGTAGAATATATTCCCATTATTTATCTAAATAATTTTACGGAATTTGAAAATTTGACATGAAAATTTGATGTTCTGTGCATATAATTCAACTCATTTTTAACTACTACATGGTTGTGATTTGCGTATTCAATGTCTGAACATTGCACAAGAAATGGTTAACTTTGTCTTTAATGAGGCTAAGAAGCCAAGAAAAATAAAAGTGAGCTCAACTAAAAAAATGTATAAATAAATTTATATTTCATTAGAGAAAGTAAATAAATATTAATTTTTAGTAATGATTTTTTTTTTTTTTTTTTTTATAAAATTTATTTCATAATAATAAATATTTACAATTTTTTTAAACTATTTCTGTATAATAAAAAATATCCTCTTTACAATTAAAGAAATATTTCTGTTTAAAAATACATTAACTCAAAATTTTAAAAATTATAGTTTTACAATATATCGTGCACGTTTTCAAAAGAAAAATTGTTACTATGGTTTTAATAATAATCGTGTTACAATAATATTTATAAGAATGGTGATACAATGGTTACCGTGGTTAAATATATATATATATACATAATTTTTTTTTTTTTTGATTTTTTAAAATTTTATATTTTTTTGTGTTTTTGTATTTTATGTATTTTTTTTTTTATTTTTGATTTTATATATTTTTTTTTTGTATTTTTTGATTTTATAATAGAAAGCCATTGTGCGGAAAAAAAAATCGAAGGTTTGGAAAATTTAAAGAGGAAGACATTTTAAAAAGAATTCGTGAAGTCATTATTTAAAGAAAGGAAATTATAACTTAATGACAGCAGAAAAGTACAAGACTTTCACACAAATACCACATTACGTACGCTACAGAGAAAACATCTAAAAAGGGATATTATATCTCATAAATAAAGGCTGGCAGTGATTTTTTAATCATAAATAATAATATTTTGTTGTAAAAATAATAATTTGTAGAGAAATGGAAAACCTCACTAAACATATAGTTCTTTTATTTGAGCTAGGGTGTCAGTTTAGCTCATATGTTTAGTTTCAGTCTTCCGTTCTCTACTTGACATATTATATTATTAATACAAAAAAGTTGACAGAAAATGTCCGTAGTGTTTCTACGGACATGATAATTATATTTTAAATTAATAATAATCCTGATTTTCCTGATTATTACCCTGATCACTGCCATTGGGTAAGTTTTCGTGTTACTGAACATGTGGTGCCATCTGCTGTTCCATATCTCGCTCATGATGGTTTGAGTGAGTGTCAACAGCAGTTGCGAGGTAGGATTTTTTTCCGATAAATTCGCGGTTCCGATTGAGAAAATCGAATTTATCGGCGAAAAAACCGTTTGGGACGTCAAGGAGTTATATACATGTTTAAAATATTCCCAAATTTCAATAGAAGGAGGACAGTAGGCAAAGATGTGAAGGTTGTCCTCGATTTTACCACAGGTTTTACATTTGTTGTTTTGGACAATCTGTTGCCTTGTGCTTTTGGCTAGCAAGGCCGCAGAAGGTAGGCTGTTGTGCAAAAATCGAAAGAGGATGTTTTGAGTCGGTCCGCATGCGTGGGAGGTAAAATTCTTTTTCCAAATTTGGGTCCACGGCATTGTTGTTTTTGTTGAACCGTTCCAGAAAAGTTCTGCTGGTACAACTGTCTTTTTGTTTTTTGCCACTTCTAAGTAAAAATTTTTTGTTGATTTTAGGGGGATGTTAAAAAGGGACCCGTTTTTGCCTAAAACTTCTATAGTTGTTTTGTAGTAATGATTTACTTACTTCTAACCCGTATTAAGGGCTGCTTACTGCTAGTTTAAACAAAACAATGAAAGGTCCTCTTTGAGAAATCTCATTTATATATATACATTTTTGCTTGTGGGTTTATAAAAATTCAAATAGCGTATACACTTTAAAATATATAATACTTAAGTATATTATACATAAAAAAATTTTTTTTCTAAGTTTTTTTGTTTAAGTTCTCTTTAATGTTTAAAAAAAGTTCTCTTTAATGTTTAAAAAAATAATTTTCAAATACAATTTAAAACTTTTTTACTACCACTAATACATGACATTAATAGCACTATTACGGAGTCTTTAAAATGATTTGACTTTAAATAAAAAGGAGATTTTTCGAAAAAGAGTTAATTTAGTTTAATTTAAAGTTTGAGAAAAGCTTGGAGACGTAATTACATTTGAGAAACGTAAAGGGGTTTTCATAATGTAAGTTCGGTATTGTTATTTATACTCCTCCAGCTAATTGCCTAGCAGAGTACCTCATACCATCGCGCACGATCGAATGGCATTTAAATTTAGAAAATAAGATGGAATTTAACGCTTTTTTGACTTCATATATGGGCCCTAAATGAGCCTCATATGGGCTAGAAAAAGGTAAAAATCTTGAATACATAGTTTTAACTTTTTTAACTACATTTATGGGCCAAAATGGGCCTCATGTGGGCTAGCCCTTGAATTTGTATTAAAGGGCTGGCCCACAAGGAGCCCATTTTGTGCCCATACATTAAGCCCACATAGGGCTTGCTTAGGCAAACCCATATGGGGCCCAAGAGGACATGTTTGCTGGGTAGAAGATCCTCAAAAAATAAACAAGCAAAAAATTATATATTAAATACTTAAAAACAAAAACAAACGTAAGTAAGATTCTTTTAAAAATTATTCCAAAAAATTTGATAGACAAAGGAAAAACTTAAAAAAATTGTACTACTCTAATTTACTTGAGATGAACAAAGATAATTGTAAACGCAAATAGGAAATTCTTAGAGAACTTACTGGCATGCAGAAAATAAAACCGTGCTCACTGCCCAAAACTATAAAAATCAATAATGTATTTGCCTCTGATCCAACTGTAATATATAGTGAATTAAATAAATTTTTTGTTTCTGTTGGCCCTAGTCTAGCTAATAAAGTTCCTCTTGTGAATAATAAAATATAGGAGCATGATTTTCCAATAACTTCGGTCTTTACATTTTTTTTATGAAGATTTTAAGCAATCTTTTTAAATGGTTAAGTGTAATAAATCTGGTTATGATAATAAAAATCGTGATAAGCGAGTCATGATAATATAAATGGTAATGTTGTCATCAAGTCTTATGAACTCTTAAAAAATTTAATATTTAAAGTTTTAAATAGTTCAATAAAGCAGGGCGTTTTTTGTAATTTTCTAAAAATAGCTAAAGTGACACAAATTTTCAAAGCTGGTAATGCAACCAACTTTTTCTAATTATCGCCCAAAATCTGTTTTGTCTGTTTAGTTTAGAGAGAATTTTATATAACATAATTTATAACCACCTTTCTTCAAATAATATACTATATATTATTCAATACGGATTTAAATTTAAGTCAATAGAACATATAATAATCTATAAAAACAAATATAAAAAATATAAAAACAAATTATTGGCATATAATAATTCAAATTATTGGCATTATTTCTGAAAACCTTTTAAAAATTCCAAATTCACGTTGGGAGTTTTCAGAGAATTATCAAAAGCTTTTGATACAATTGATCATAAAATTCTCCTAAAAAAACATGAATATTATGAAATTCAAAGAAATGTTTTACTGTTACTAAAAAGCTATATAAGCAACCGTAAACAGTTTGTTTATAGTAATTTGAGCCAACCAATCTATTATATATAACCTGTGGTGTTCCCCAGGGTTCTTTACTTGGGCCCCTTCTCTTTTTCATTTACATCAATGATTTACACAAAGCTTCGAACTTGATTGCTGTCATGTTTGCAGATGACACTAACCTCTTTTTATCTGATAACAACATTACTAAACAAAAGTTAGTCGTTGTTCTCAATTATAATTATATCTTAAACAATGTTAGTTTTTAAATGAAATAACAATGTGTAAACAACAACAATATAAAACAATATAAAAACAATATAAAAACAAGAAATGACTAATGTCATTATTTTGACATTCCCTTCCATGTTTTTAAGTGTCAATACATATAAACATAATTTCTGGGTTCATTTCTTAAAGTCATCTAATGTCCAAGATTTCTCGGTTTCTGGTTGGTAGAATTTCTTGGGGATACGTAGCCTGGATGAACGTTTCAATGGTTGATCTCCTACGACTTCAGTATTTAATAAGGGTGGCATTGCTAGATGCGGCGAGCTTGTTGATAAAGATGCTGGCCTCAACGGTAAGGGTACTGGAGTTTTTGATAGAGGTAGTGGTGGTTCTGCTGGTGCTAATGTAGGAGGCGGTAACAGTACTGTAGATGGTGCTAGTTCCGGATGGTATGACTTTGTTGCTACTTTCTGGGACATACTCTGTAAATGGTGTTGGCGAATCATCAGAGTTATCGTGACTAGAGCTTGTTTTTGGTGGTGTGGTCAATGCAACTTCGGTTTCGTATGACTTTAGTGGGTTGAGGAATTTGCGCAAGTATTTTCTATTTCTCAATGTTAGTCGACCTGTTCCTTCAACCTTAATGATGTATTGGTCATTTTCCTTACATTCAACAACTTTTCCACTACGATCCGATTTTTTAGGGTGGTTCCCTACTTGATTTCGTATAAAGACACTGTCTCCTTCATGTAGTGGTGTGAGGAAACGTGTGTGTTCTTGAAGTGATTCAAGGGTCTTTGCATATCTTGTTCGTAATGCTTCTTCTTTTGCAGACCATGCATGTCTCCACGTTTTCAAGAATTGGTCGTTATTAAACATAGGTATTCTGGATTTTATCCTAGGCATGGCGTCGCGAATGGGATGGCCAAATAATACTTGAGCGGGGGATAACTGACAGGTAGAGTCTGGTGTGTTTCTTATTGTAAGCATTGCCCTTACAAAAGCGATATTATTGAGATCACCATTTGGTCCCACATTATTTTCGAGGAGGCGTTTTGTTGACTTAACTGCAAGCTCAGCTCTTCCATTAGATTGTGGGTGGTGGGCTGATAAAATGCGATGAGTTATGCCCCATTGTTGTAGAAACTCTTTTGTTTCTCTAGAGGTGAATTGAGGACCACCGTCGGTTGAAATTTCTTCTGGGACTCCAAATGTTGTAAATAGTTTACGTAAGCACGTGATAAGACCTTTTGCACTCATTTCTGATGTTCCCGATTTTATTCTGTAGGCTTCGGTCCATCCAGGAAGTCTATCTCCAATGACCAGATAATCCCAGCCACGGAATTCAAAATAGTCAGCAAATATGCATTCAAATGGTGTCACAGGGATGTGAGGTCGGATGGGTGGTAGTCATGCATTAGAAGGTGCATTTCGTTGCATTTCGTCATTACAGCTGCAACAGTTATCGCGCTTACTTTGTATACTGTGAGTGATACCTGGCCAGAAAACAGTGGCTTGAGCTCTGGCTGTCATTCCCGATACTCCTTGGTGGGCTGAGTGTAGTACGTCCAATATCTCTTTCCGTAGAGTTGGTGGGATTACAATTCTGTCGTTGTATATTATAACCCCGTCGGACACCATCAAGTCATTGCGGTATTCCCAGAACGGTAAAAGATTTGGTATGAAGTTATTCTTTTTTTTTTGGGAAACCGTTTTCTATTGCTAACATTAATGCTTTAAAATCGGTATCCTTTCCTGTCTCTGCTTTGACACTATCCCATGTTACTGCAATCATTTTATCTATGTCGTTTCGTATCGAGGCTATTATTAGTGATTCTGTGTCGTCAAAATTGGTATTTTGATTGCAAGTGGCTGAATTAACAGATTCCTTTGTGTTCTCTGCAGGGTAACGAGAAGTAGCATCTGCTGCCAGGTTTGTTTTTCCTGGTTGATGTTGAATGGTAAATTTCCATGGCAAAGTTCTCTGTTTTAATCGGAAAAGTCATGTGTTAGCAATTTCATCTAAGGTCCTATCTCCTAATAATTTGACAAGTGGTTTATGATCAGTTACTACCATAAGGTTATCACAACCTTGTGTGAAATATTTAGTCTGCTCCAGGCTCCATGCCACTCCTAGCATTTCGCCCTCAACTGGTGCATATCGTTGTTCAGCAGATGACAGAAATCTGGACCCTGCTAGGGTTGTTTTCCATCCGTCTATGCAGCAATCTGGGGAGTCCGATTTACATTCACAATGTTTTTGGCTTAGGTAATATCCTATCCCCAATTTTTACCAGTCGCATCTTAAACAGGTTTTCTTGGTAATGTCAAATATTTGGACTCCATCTTTAATTGCGTCGATGATTTTTTCCTTTGACACGTTGGATAAAGTATTGAGTTCGTCCGACCAATAAAATTTTGATTTAGGGCTAAGCAGAACTCTGAATAGGGCCATAGTTTCTCAAAGTTGAGCGTAATGTGATACTTGGGTCACTAAGCCGAACCAAGATCGGATGTCTGTTATTGAGAATGGTGTTGGAAATGATCTAATGGCGTCGATATATTTAGGTAGTGGTTCAACTCCATTTTCAGATATTCTGAAACCTGCAAAATCCACTATTCTTTTAGCAAATTGGAATTTTTGTGGGTTCAAAATGATCCCAGCTTTGCCAACAAGCTCAAGAAATTCGATTGTCCGCCACCAATGTTTGACTATATCGTCATCGTAGTGGATGGTGTCATCTACACATCTTTGTTTGCCAATAAAGTCTGCTAAAATTTCGTTGAAACGCCTGTTGTAGCCATCCCCACTAGATACAAAACCTTGAGGAGCTCGGATGTATCTGTATTGCCCAAAAGGAGTAATGAAGGTGGTAAGATTCCTGTCTTCAAACAGTATCGGGATGCTATGATAACCATTCCCTGTGTCGGTTACAGTTTTCCATAAATTTCTTGGGACTGAACGAGCTAGTTGGAAAGGCGATTGCATTGCATGAGTTTCTCTGTTGCAGTACTTGTTTAAAGGAGATAGATCAACAGTGCAACGAGGCCCACTGTCATGCTTACGTGTGATAACCATTCTATGACACCATGTTGTAGGTTTTCCTAGAGGTACCTTTTCAATAACTCCAAGAGTTTCATCACGAATTAAATCCTTTTCCACCTGGTCTTGCCAATGGATTGGTATGGTGGCTGGAGTAAATGCTGCAACTGGTTTGGCATTTTCTTGAATTAAAATACTTATTGGAGGTCCCTCCATATTAGGTAAAATCTGGTGTGGACATGTGTTGAATGTTGAAGCAGAATATCTCTCAAGGAGCCACGCTTTCATCCGTTCGTTGTTTTCAGGACAGCAGACAAATGGAAGTTTGGTGGGTGCACCTGCTGGGAGACTTCTTTTGGAGCAATTGCACACATGTGAGCTATTATTTTCACTGGATGTTTTGGTCCCTATAATTGGGGGCCTGAGTTTATAGCTCCGTGGAGGGCACTGCCTATCTCTGGAAAGTCCTTAGAGATGATACCCAGTTGGGTCATTGCTTCTTTAGATAGGTAGAATCCGTTTGCGTCTGGACTTACGTAAACCATTACTGCACATTCAACTTTGTGGCCATTAGATTGTTGTCCTTCGAGACGTAAAAGAATTGCACCATCTATACGAAATTGGGTTTTATTTGCGGCCGACATGCTATGTTTCACAGGTATTAAATTGTTTGCATTAAAGCCTGCATTGTCAAACCTTTTCCTAGACCATAAGCAGGACTGTGCACCGGTATCTGTAATAACTTGTATATATTTTGGTATAATGGGAGGAAATGGAATACCAAATGCGACATAGTCTGATTTGTTAGTAGTCACACGCAGCTGAATTGTAGGATGAACAAGTAATTAAGCTGTGGCCCATCCATCATGGGTAAATATGTGATGGTTTATTCCTGTGCAGGGTCGTTTCACATTCGTCTTTATTTGTGATCTAATTTTTTTTTTTGAATGCTCAATTGCACTTAACTTTAATACAAGTCCACCTGCCTCAGCATCTTTGGTTGCATTCAATTTCTTATCATTTGGGGTGATTCTGTTGCTAATTTTAGAAGTGCAAGATCTGTGCTTCTTCCAACAGTCTAGACACAGCTTGTGGGGTTTTTTGTTCCATCCTTTGGATGTTTCTGTAAATAAACTGTAAGATTCTGAGCAATCTGGACATTTGGCTGTTATATTGGTCCCTTTACTACTCTGTGTATTGCTCTTGTTTTGTTTCCTGAAAGTTGATACACTTGCTGTTGTTGAACTGCAGCCTAGTGCATTTCGTGCCATTTCCTTACCCTCTATAAAAGCAATGATATCTGTGACTGAGGCTGTGTCAAGGGAGACCCATTCAAGTACATCTTTGCGGATGTCAGTGTCTGATAGCCCAGCAACATCAATGTCTCGTATGATAACATCGGTAAAATCAACAGTTGTTTTTGGGTGGCAGTGGCATTGTACAGTGTAGTTGCAAGTAGTAGCCTTGCCTTTCAGTTTTGCATAAAATGACCGAATACTTTCGTTGTGTCCCTGTCTCATTTGAAGGAGTTCTGCTCTTCTTACGCTAGTGGCTACTGGGATAACGGCCAGTTTTTTCATTGCTTTTAGAAATGCCTCATCGTTTTCATTAATTATCATGGGATTTTCTTTTAGGAGTTGATTTCCAAGGTCGTCCTTACAGCACTGAAACAACTGTGCTGTCATCTCTTCTTGTCTGGTGTCTGTACATCTCTTAAACAATGTCCAGCGACTAATAAAGTTTGTCCACTCTTCTTCTGAGATATCCTGACCGTTGTGGGGGCGATCCAATTTAGGTGCCTTGTGTTTTGAGAAAGCTGAATGAATGTCAATCGAGTTTGCTGTTGAATAATGCAATTGCAATTGCTTCGCTGGGACCTTCAATGACGACATTGCATCCTGGGGCCTGGTAAGGTAGGCTTATTGTGGACATAATGTAGGAAAGATTAAGGTTAGCAAAATCCTACCTTTAGTGTGTACATTAACAACTTCAAATGAATATGTAAGTGAATTACAATTTCAACCACTGACAAGAAGTTTTTATCTTTGAAATACCAGTGTTTCTTTAAAATTCCATAGAATGAATAAGAAACTAACATAAACAAAAGTTAGTCGTTGTTCTCAATTATAATTATATCTTATACAATGTTAGTTTCTAAATGAAATAACAATAAGTGTAAACAACAACAATATAAAACAATATAAAAACAATATAAAAACAAGAAATGACTAATGTCACTATTTCTACAATTACAACATTATTTCAAAATATGAATATTGAATAAACAAAAATTTCTGAATGTTGAAAAAACTAATAGGATACTTTTTCATTCAGCTTCTAAAAAAACTTCTGCCTTGCGATTTACCATTGCTCTTTTATTGACAAAATTCTAATAAAAAGAGTAATTAATACAAACTTTTTGGGTTCTATATATAAATATATCAATAAAAACCTTAATTGGAAATATCACATAGAATTCTTGTGTAATAAAGTTGCTAAAAGTATAGGAGTCTTAAATAAAGCTAGAGGTCCTTTAAATAAATGTTTTAATATTCTTTGTTTTATGTACAAATGTAAAACTCCAACCCAGTTTCTTTCCATAACTTTTATACCTTAGAAGATAAAAATAAATAGAACTTAAGAAATGATAACTTTATTTGTCAACCATTCTTTTAAACTAATTTTGGAAAATTAACCATTTCATTTCGTGGAGCTTCTCTTTGGAATATAATAGTTTTAAAACATTTTGATTTTTCTTTGGTATGGAGTTACCTCTCATTCAAAAAAATGCTTAAGGAAACCATTTTGTCTATTGATGATATATTTTTGTATTTTTAAACATTGAATAATTTACTTTTTTATTTTTTATGCAGTAATGTAACTGAATATGTATATAAACGCATTTAAATTTTTCTTGTGCTTTATAAACTTGACCACGTATTTGATTTTTTTGAGATTTTTAAATTTACGAGCGGTTCTTGATAAAGACTTTTTTTTTTTTTTTTAGTTATTTAGGTGCCCCAAGAAGACCTAATGGTCTTGTCACAGAGCACCGCGGAAGTGCATTTAACCAGGAAGTTCACGCCTCCTTGCTTACCGTGACGGAAAATATGTCCAGAGCTCGTTTCGAACCTGGATCTCCTGCTTATAAAGTAAGGGCTGTAACTACTGCGCCACGGCCGCACACTTGATGGTCTTCTAAGAGTGTCCGCTTTCTTTTTATTTATTAAATCAAATACTTGTATATTTTTTTGTGTATTTTTATTTTCTAGTTGTAAAATGATTTTTTAATCTTAACGATTTATTTTTTTGTGTAACAACTTTTATACTTTGTATAAATTTTAAGTTTCAAGTTCTTCATCAGCGGTTCTCTGTAACGAGACCTATTGGTCTTCTTTGAGTATCCGCGTTCTTTCTTTCTTTATTTTTTCTTTCTTTATCTTTACTATATCTTCATTTGCAAGTTTTTCATTGTATATCTGTATTTGTATCTTAAACATTGTAAAAAAGAATAAAAAAATAAATAAATAAGCATTTAAGCAGATAACTATGTATGAAAATGAAGTAAAATTTAAAAAGTTTGTGTAAAGTCCCGAAAAAGTTTTCTTATGAAAAACTTTGGTAATTGTGGAGTTCTATGTTTTATTTAGAAATAGGTCCAAAAAAATTAATATAAAGAAATAATAAATAATAATAAGGAATAATAATAATAATAATGCTCTTATATTTTCATCACAATAACTAAAACAAAATTAATTTAAAAAGTGGACAACCTAAAAATCTGTTTAATTGAAATAGATATATAATAATATGATATTTTCATCTATTTCAGTTTTTGTTAATTAAGTTTTTGTTTCAATTAAGTTTTTAATTTTTTATATATTATATAAAAATTAAAAACTTATTTATGCCGAAAAAAAAATTAATTGTAGTAACTGCATTACCATTTACTTGCAATTTGGGTTTAAAATTATTTTTGAAGGTTCACTTTTAGTTTACGGACGTACGGACGAGTTTTGAAAATACAATATACCTACAATGAACGTACTTATACCCGCTGGAATATTATATGCTAATATTGTGCAACCCTGTGTAAAGTGATGAATGAAATTTATTGACGTCAAATTTATGCAATTAATTATATTTGCTATGTTACAGGTTGGCATAGAGGAATAAAAAAATCTAATAAGTTTACTATCCCACAAATTTGGTGACATTTGATGGATCACTCCAGCTCCTCAAAATGTCTATTCAAAGTTTTTATTCACGTTAAGCTGAGCAATTAATGTGTAAATTGCTTAACTTTACATGAATACAAATTTGAGCAAAACTGCTGAAGTTTTTATTCACGTAAAGATGACCAATTACTGAGTAAAAGCAATTGCTCTTTTTTATTCACCGGCTTAATGAATGAGAAATAACTTCAAATATAAATTGATGAATTATAAAATCGATATGAAACAAAAAAGACATTATCTAATTATTTTCTTGAAACTTTAAACATTTTCGAGAAATATAGCAATATGTCGGAAAACTATAACAACACAAATAAATAAAATTTTAATATAAAATTTATAAACAAGAAATTTATTTTATAATAAAATAAATTTAAACTCAATATAATTTTTTTTCCTACATAGGTCAAAGCATATTGATTAGCAACGCTTGTTCAGCAAAAGGTATTAAAAGTTTTTTTTTTGTTTTCTCCATAATTTTCTTTCAACAACAATTTTAAAACAAAATATTTTTTAAAAATATTTATCAAAAGACAAAAATATACAAGTGGCGTCAAAAATATACAAGTGGTGTCAAACTTTGATGCTTTGTTAGTAATATTAATAACTTACATTAATATACAGAAAATGCAACGTTTAGCTAGCTAGCACACACACAAAAATTCCGAAGAACTGTTAAAATTGAATTTTTCAGTTAAGATAAAAACCTTTCTCTTTAGTAGCAGCTAGAAGTTTCTCTTTGAGTAATTGTTCAGAGGAATATTCTGGTAACTTTAAATAATGAACGCAAGTATTTACAGAAGGAAAGCTACCATCACCTTCGTCTTCTTTTTTGACAACGGTTAATCGAGGATATAGATTAGATATACCTCCCGGAGGAAGCGAAGAACAACCGGTGGCAAATTGTAAAAATTCCTACAAAATATTAAATATTAGTTGTTTATCATTACCATTAAAATTTAAAATTGATTTAAAAAGCAGTATAGTATTTTTATACCTTCCGTTCTTTTCCATTCATATCCAACAACACATTGATGAATCGCAGGAAACCAGGACTTTCTTTATGGTAACCATATTTTGGTTCAGTGAAGTTCATTAACTCGTCGCGCGTCCATTGTGGATTTTGCTCACCACAAAGCATTAGTTGTAGCTCTTTTGGTTTAAACGCATGTAATTTTTCAATTGAAAACACACGATTAAAACCATCTAAAGTATTTTTCCAAGTGTAAAAAACTCTTCAAGTATTTATACAAATAAAAAAAAAAAAAAAAAAAAAAACATAAGAAATTTTTACCTTTAAAAGCCTCCAGTTGTTGTGCAATCCCGCGATGCATTGTGAAGTCTAGGAGCAACTTTATATATTCTTCTGCATTCTCACCCGTAACTAGCTATAAATTTATATAAATTATGTACTCACAAACTCTAAAAATATTACAAAATGACACTTGAACGTGTATTATAAAAATCGTACCTCGTTCGCACCGCCTGGTTTTAGTTCTACAGAATGAAACCCATATATTGAAGAGGACGGAACATATTCAAATGTAAGGCTTAAATGATTAAAAATTAAATTAGCAACAAAATTAGCAATTTTAGTTGCCATTTTAAACCAATAGTTAAAACTTTACGTACCCAATATCTTCAAGTTTGCACTCGTGTCCATGCTCAGAAACAATCATTAACTTTTCAAGCTGTTCATTTTTCTCTACACTACTTAACGTAACATCGTTTATGATAGCTTTTCGTTTATTTATATAGGTACAAAGAACTTTAATAAAAACAGCTTTGTCTGGATGTATTTTTTCAAAGTCATTATATGTAAGAACATCACTAAAATAATGAGAATCAAGTTTATCAGTGCCATCAGCTTTTATATCGAAAACATCATCAGATAGCTCATCATAACTGTGAACACCATCTGTATACATGACGCTACTTATATCAGATGCATTCGATAATGTTCTACACATACGCGAATATTTACCTTTTGCAGCACAAAGCATTTTAAAGAAAGGTTGGGAAAGCGGCAAATCTATAAGACGATTGTCTTGCAAACATTTTGCTAGAAAAACTCCAAAGAAAGTGAACAAATTACATATACTGTCCATTCGTTCAGAGTTTTGAGGGTATGGAGCGGGAAACAAACCATTGGGATGCGAACAATATTTATTAACTTCCAGCATAGTATCGGAATCCTTATAAAAATATATTTTATAGTTGAAAACAACATTTAAAAGTAAAACTGTAAAAATGTAAAATATAAAAAACATACATCAATATGTGATGATAACTGATCCGTCGTAACCCAAAGCGATAGATCATTAAGTTGTATTGATAAGGCAACAAGTGCATAAAACTCTAAACTTGGACCGAGTCCAGTGCCTTCTTCACCTTCAAACTCTACCTAAAATTGAAACCATCGTCAGAATAATTTTTCTATAAATTAACATATTGCTTATATTACAGAGTCAACAAATGTCATCATGTTACAAGCTTGATTTTTGACACAAAAGACTGGCTTCCTATAGTTTTAAACAAGCTTAAATTTAACACTGTATATACTGTTAGTATATTAAACATCAATCACTGATAGTATATTGAATATTATCAAATGCTATCAACAACATCGTTATGTTATTAGTTTGTTAAATGCTATAAGATCATTACTAAGTCAAATTATTAAACTTTAAAATCGCATAATTTTATTAGATTAAAGTAGTATACAAGATTTCATGGTTCCTGACATATGTGAATTGACTTCTACATTTAGAGAGAAAACTTATTTACTAGCTATCAATATTCTAAATTAATTTTATTTTAAATTAATAAAACTATAGAATCAAGAAATAAAAAAAAAATCATATTGTAATATATATAGAACAATTAAGCTGTTAAAAAAACTAACCAAATAAGTAAAAAAAAATAGCAACATGTAAACTGAAATGGTAACAAATATAACTTCCTAATTTAAAAAAAAAGGTGATAACCTCTAAAATAGCTTTTCTTTCTGCATGAAAGTTCATCAACTTAATCGCTGTTTCCAGAAGCTAAAAAAATTTCCATTATATAATTATAGTACAAAATAATTTAAAATAACAGTTAAATATATAACATTTAATAAAAAATCTTATAAATACTATTTTAAATATTTATTTTTTGAGACTATTATAAATAGTTTTTTAAATACTATTTTAAATTTAAAAAAAAAAATACTATTTTTAATATTTAAATAATAAAAAAGAAAAATAATTTTATCTTGAAAGTTATTCAAATTTATAATTTTAAATAAATAAAAAAATTACATTTTGTCCGCGTGGTACAGTTACTCGTTCATGCTTTAACCTGCCAAGCCTAAATTCCTGTGTCTCAAGTCTACGAGTTGGATGTCCTCGTGACCTCTCTAGTGCAGCATCTTGCATATTCTGAAGCCACACAATAGATCTATACAAAATAAAAATACTACAAAATGAAATTACTAGAATCTATAGTCCACTAAAATTCAAGTTGTTTTCTGTTAATATCATTGCACAATCATCATCATTAGGGTCTTATAAAATATAATAGAAATAAGTAAAAACAAAAATAAAATACTAAAAATGTAAGATGCAAAAAATAAATAAATACAAGTCAAAAACTGAACTTAGAAAAATATTTAAAAAATAAAAGATAACTATTAAAAATTTTTAAAATAAAAATTTTTATATAATTTTTTTAAATAGTAGATCATAAAATATTTCTAAAGCAATAAGAGAATATATGATTCAAGTTTTGATTTAGTTTTACACTTTTAACAAAATTTATAAAACAGCTGTGTTTATTGGAGTATCTTTAATGTGAGTTTTAAATTAATTTATTTAAAATTAATTCTAAGTTATTTATTTGTAGTTAATAGAATTTATGCTGCAATAAGAAAGTCATCACATTTTGATTATTTAGAACAGGAAGCTGATCTTAAGTGTGATCTTTCCTCTGTATCAGCTTCAGGAAATAGCCTCACTTCCATTACCTTATGCATGAAAGAACTTTCTGGTATGACAATTAAAAATTCAGCTGTAGAGCAAGATGACCTAAAGCCATATGTCAAAACCATATTGACTGTCAAAGAGTAAGTTGACTCATTATGAGATATTAGAAGTTTGTTAAAGATTTAAAGATCTCGCTAATAATAAAGAGAAAACTGATTGGACGATAGTTGGAGGGGTCAGAGTGTTCTCCAGAGATTTTAAAGATTGAAACTACAAATGCCATTTTTGAGCAAGCAGGAAAACAAAAAAACTCAGTTGAACGCCTGCTAAATAGTTTAGAGAGTTTTAAAAGTTATGGCATGGCCTACTACACTTAACACCTACTATAAATAAAGGGTTTGTAGGTTTTACCTATTTTACCTAGCTAGATTATACTTGTTTTTAAACAATAAATAATGTTAAAATAATTTTTTTTCTTTAAAAAGATTTTTTTATTTAAAAAAAAAATTAAACATTAATAAAATCACAATCAATTTTTTAATATAAATTCTGGAAGTATAACAACAATAAACAAATAGAAAATCAAAATGCTTTCTTTTAGCTCTTTTAGATTTGAAAGTAGCAATATCATCTTTTTTTTTTTAGCCATTGATAAAGTATATATTTTTAATAATATTATTGTTATACCACTATTAAATTGTTGATCACACGTGAAAATTGTTTTATTTCTACAATTTAGGAGCTTTCTGGCAACATATCTTACACTATTAGCATTATAAAAGCAAAGCTTAATGATACATATGATGCAAGATATTTTCCAGGTCACTGAAGCCCCCTCTCTTGACAGTAAACTTAATGGGAATGGTGACTCTCTCAAGATTCCACATTCAGTAAAAATAAATATTTTAGAGAGTATTTTCATAACAAATCTGGAAAGGTTGGCACTTCCTTGGTGTTGCTGTTTAAATCAACCTCTTGAAAATCATTTTTGGAATTGATTTCACAAAAATGATTTTGACTGGACTCTTGTTGAATAGTTAACTTCCAGTAATTTATTTTCTCTGAAGACTCAACTTCATGTAAACCAACAAGAAAAATAACTTAACTCATTTGTCTATATTTTGGATGTCTAAGAATAGATTAACTTGTTTCTCTGGGATGACAGGAAGAAGGTGATCATTATATTCAAGAAATGAATTAGAGGAAAAGTTCTTTGCAAAAAGTTCTGTCTTATGCTTGTAACGGTAATATGATCAGACCTGAAGGGTATTATGATCAAACATGTGAATTAGAGATAGAATGTCAGATTTTTATTTGTTGATGACAGTGTTGAAGATTTTGAAAAAGTTTCTAGAACCTAATACCTAAGATAAAATATGAGATATAGTAAAGTGGAAACAATGGAGCTTAGTATCAGACCATTTGAATTGATTACTTGCAATGATAAAAAAAGACTTTCAAGAGAGTCGATGTTGTAAAAAAAAGATAAAAGAAAAAATTTCGGTAAGAAGGTCTAAATCCATTAATATACTGAATTACATGTTAGATGAATCTATAACCTATGAATTTCTGATTTTCATAGTTTTAGTAAATTAAGTAAAAAAATACACAATAAAGATTTATTGCATAAACAAGCATTATCTAATAGATTATTTATAAAAAATTACTTTGAACTAACCTTGAACAACCAAACGCTGTTGCCCTAAAAAATAATTTTCTGGTTTCAAATGGAAATAACATGGGATAATTGATTACTAGATATTCACACCACAGTGGAAAAGAGCCTGTTGTTAAAGCAATTGGATCCTATGTAAAAAAATGATGGTTAATTATAATTAAAAAAACACAGCTGACAAGAATAGCTCATCAATAAAACTCTTTTTTTACCTGAATTTGTTGCATCAACTTATTTGTAAGCTTCTTAGAGAGATAATCATCAGCGACTGCATAACCAGACTCATTATCTGGAAGATAAAACACATTGATAAAAATTTTCAGATTCATGGCAAAGGGGGGGGGTTATGTCTTAAAATCTTATTCAACTAAGAGTAGCTTTTAAAACTTAATAAAAAAAAAACGAAAAATTTACCAATAAATTCCTCTGATAGTCGAAACATTGATTTAATTACATCAAGAACATGATGGATTGAAGCAAGATCATCAATCGATTTTTGAGCAGGTTTTTCAATTTTTAATGGTTTATTTTCTGTATCCAAACTTTCAAGTTCTTCTTGATGTTTAAATTTGGCATAGTCCTAAATAATAAAAAAAAAAACAAGTATTGAGTATACCAGAACACTAAGCATACAAAGGTTAAGCATTACATATATAAAGATTAAGCATTAAGTATACAAAGGGTAAGCATTAAATATACAAAGATTAACCATTAGGTATACAAAGGTTAAGAATCAAGTATACAAAGATTAGCCATTACGTATACAAAGGTTAAGCATTAATTAGACAAAGATTAATTCTATGAATAGATTCTAACAAATCTATTCATATAAAAATAAATAACTTTAAATAAAAAGAAATTGAAAAAAAACAACCACCTTATAAGCAGCAAATAATGTTGCACAATTTCGTTGTCTTCTACACATCCTTGCACTTCCTACAAGTTTCCATTTTTTTAAGAACTCATTGGTACCATTTTGTTGTAAATAATTTATAACATCACTTTTAGGTAACTCTAAGCTGCCAATGTTTTCTTTTACATATTCAACTGTCCATTTTATATTTGATGAGTAAAGACACTAGAATATAAATAGTAAACAATAACATAGCAACTGCTTAGTTATAAAATGAGCTTGACCAAATGTTTTCCACTGTTGCTTAAATAAAATGATGATCTTAGTTTCACTTATTACACAGAACACATCACAAAATCACAAATGACACAAGCAATGTTTAAAAAACTGAAAATGAAAACTAAACACAACAATGAAAATTACAGCAAGTACAGCCCTAATAATGGAAAAGCAAGAAGAAATGAAATTAAAAAAAAAAAGAATAAAGAAATCTTACAGTTTCTTTTTTATCTTTTTCTATAGAATCATCTGTTAAATTGTTTTCTGTTGATTTGTATATTATTCTGAAATAAAAAGAAGGTTAGAAAACATCATTTAAAAATTAAAAGTAAAAAAGAAAAAAAAATTACTTACGTGTATATTGGTTCCCACACTTTCCTAAGTTTATCAGTAACATTTGCTCCTGTGACTCCATGTAACACTAAAGTCTGCAAATACGAAAAAACAGTAGCTTCAGGATTGTCAAGTGGAATTTCAATTTCTTGACCACCTGCTGCAGAAAAACCTCGAAGAAACAGTCTGATTTTAGAAGAGTTGCTTAATGAACATTTTTTAAACTCTTCTGCTAAAAAAAAGGGAAAAGTAAAAAGTGAGACTTGCACCAAGCATGCTTACTCAAAACATTTAACATAAAAAGATGTTAAAATATATTAAACAGCGTTTTTTTCAATATTAGATAAAAATTCAAAGTTTACTATTATCAGGAATTTGTATATCTTGAGTTTGTTGCACATTGACTCTACCAGGTCGTGGATCAAATGCAGGAACTAATGCATTATGGTGACACTTTATAACAAGATCATTGTCCCAAATACGGCGTTGATGATCATAATGACGCTCTAATCGCCCACCCTTATTAAAAAGTATATATAGAACAAAAATATCAGGTAAATATTTTTAAAACTATAAAGCTATTAAAATTTATATGAAAGCAAATTAAAAATAGAACGTTCAAAATAAAACATTGGTTATAGTACATAAATTTTAATCATAAAAGAGTAGAAAAAGATAAAAAATAGTTAAAACACAATGCTAAGTGAATGAGTTAAACAGAGATGACAAAAAAAAGTGAATGAGCCCAAGTGAATGAGCCTAAACAGAGATGACAAAAAAATGTAACATTGATATAGAATATCTAATACTTAAATTTAAAAACCTTGCTTACATTCAATGGCTCATACACCTCATCTTGATCATCCTCATTTTCAATGTCATCTTCATCAAAATCTTCATCTTCCTCATTATCATCATCCACTTCCATACTTTCGCTATTAAAATAAAACAATTTTTTTTAATACTGTTGGTTCACTATTGCTTTTATAAATTAAAGGTGTTATTATAGGTTGGTTCACTTTATTGTTTATTGAAAAAATACATTATTCCTATATAAATGTAGAATTTTACTATAAATTAAAAGTTAATTATTGATTTCTTAAAAAAAAATATTCTTCAATTTTTTGGAAAAAAAAAAAAGTTTTTTTCCAAAAGATTGAAGAAAAAGTAAAAATTTTTATACAACAGTATTTTGAAAAACTTACATATCATTTCCTTCTTGTTCATTGCCATCATCTTTCTTCACATTACTTTGAAGATTTTTACTTTCTATTTTTTTAAGTTTATCAGAGTGTTCTTGTAACATTTCTTTATCAGAGTGTTCTTGTAACATTTTTTTATCAGAGTGTTCTTGCAACATTTCTTCTAAAGTATAAAGTTCATTGTCCTCATCTTCTTGTGTTTTTTCTGAAATTTCTTTAGCTGTAGATTTTGAATTGAGAGCAATTTTTGGTTTAACTTTTATTTCTAAAACAGTTTTCTTATTTTCATTCTCATTAAGACTTATATTTTCTGGTTCAACTTTGTTACTCTCTTTAATATCATCAATTTGAGGTTCACTTTCTTGAGTTGTACAATCAGTTGATTGAGTATTGCGCTTGTCTTGCTTGTCTTTAGCAATATTGTTCATCAACTCTGCTATCCTATTATTGCTTTCATTTGTTAACTCACCAGACAATAACTTTAAAGCTGACCTTATGGTTTCGTTGTACATCTCATCTGTAAGACTCTTTTCTTCTGCACCTGTTTGGTGTGGGTTTTTGTTAATAATTTCATCACTTTTTATTTCAGATATGATTTCACTGTCACAGCTATTGTACTCATTCTGATCTTCCACCAAATTTTGATTTTCCTCTTTTTCAAACTCTTCATCATCATCAACTTCTGCCTCATCACCAATTTCTTCATCTTCATCAGTATCCGAATTAACATCATTAGTTTCGCTTAAAAGATCCAGAGCACTTGATTCTGGAATATGCTGATTTCCATTTAAAAAATTATTCTCAGCAACAGAAAATGAACCAATAGGATGTTCATTAGCAAACCTTTCACTAACACCAGTTTCAGAAGGATCACTTAAGCACATTGAATCAAAAACATCTGAAATGGACGAAGAGATCTTTTTTATTTGAGCTAGACAATCACTTGAAGAAGAAGTGAATTCTTCTTTTGGCACATCTTTTCTTTGTGAAAGTGATTCCTGACTTTCTACTATAGAATCCGCTGTAATAGAATCTGTAATTTTTCCATTAGGAGGAGTATTTGGAGAAGGAGTGTTAACACCAGTATCAGGCAATGAACTTTCCCTGGAACCTTCAGCGGTTGGAGTAGGTCGGCCTTTAGATGAATACAAGTTATTTCGAAAAGGTTTAACAGCTGTTTTAAGCTGATCAACACGCAAACATGCAGCTTCTACTAATGCATTTGCAACAACATCTGAAGAAGACGAATCAAGCAAATCCTCAACAGCCATTAAAAACTGCAAGTTGGCAATGTCTAAACGAGAACCTACTTGTTTTTGATCTTCATTTCTGTTTGAATTGCTATTTTTTCCAGCTGATTGATTATCATTTAATGAATGTTTACCAAATGACATTACCACTTGTCGCAGAGCACTATCCAATGTTGTTTGTCTATATTTATTGCTTTCATTTTTATGCCTCTTCTCTGCTTCCAGCATTGCAACTTGTACATGCGGATCAGAAATATCTACAACTTTAACATTAAAATTATTCTCTAAATTTGTTTTAGATGTGAAATTTTCTGCCCAGGAAACATCAACCCAATCTAAAATAAAAGCATCTCATGCAAAATTTATAAGAGTTATTAACAAACTCATAAACTATAAGTCTTCGCATTACTAAAAAGGGGCTATTCTTAAAAAATGTCAATCTTAAAATGAATTTTTCAAATTCAAATTTAGACCAAGGAAACAGTTTTAGCAGATACATGCACCTTTGATATTTTAGATTTAACTTAAATTATAACATTAGGAAATTCTGCCTCACTTTTTAGCATGGTAAATGTGCCCCATTTTAAAAAATAACATAATAATTAATGCATAATGAACTTATTAGTATAATAATTTAATGGATAATGAACTTATTAGTATATTAATTATACTATATTAGTAAGATAAATCTTAATAAATCTTTTTTTTAATTTAGAAAAAAAAAAATCTTTCTACTTGATAATTTAATGAACTAAATTATAAACTAAATTTACCTTCCAATTGAAAGAATTGAGCATTTTAGAAATTACACTCTGGGCTAGCAAATGTTTGAAATTTATAGCATGTATATGTTACATAACAATTTTGCCTTGAAAGTTTTAAAATGATTTAATTTAGACTTTTCAGCCATGAAAAACAAGTAAAAGACTTTTCAGCCATTAAACTAAAACAAGTTAATCATAGATTTTTAACAAAGAAAAAAAGATTTAACAAATGCTTTACAGTTCACTCGATCTTTTTAGTACCTGACTTTTTTTATTTTGTTGGTCTCTATTTCATGAAACAAATTTGAAAAAGAATTTGGGTTTTTACTTTTGGTATATTTGGCGTTTTGGTGTAGTTTCTAGTATGTGCTTGGTTGAAACCCACAGACACTTTTAACACATAGTTTTGAAGACAAAAAACTATTGAAAACATGGTAACATTAATTAGTTTGACTAATTAAAGTCTTGAACATTAAATTTATGTTTTCAGTTTGAAAATGTTTACTAATGATCAATTCTAAGAGTTTCAGGAAAGATTTTTTTTGTATTAGAATTTTTCTGTGAATTTTGCACATAAATTAATTATTTATGTTTATGAACCTTTTTCTTTTCTTCTTTAGAATGAGGAGCCCTAAGATAAAACAGATGTTAGCAGTTGAAAGAAAACAAAAATCAAGAATTAATTAATTGAAAAGAATGTTAGAAAAAAAATGTAGAGAGACAAGAAAGAAAAAAAGTTTTGAGCTCATGACAAAACTAAAGAGTTCTATTTTAGATCAGACATTGTATACATTATGCCATAAAACCACTACACTACGCCATGTAAAAAGAATAAAATGACACTTTAAGATAAAAAAGAGAAACCACAACCTTAGAAAGTATTACTCACAATATATTTTGTCTAGACATTTATAGAGGACAAAATAGATGAAAAATTCATACTTCACTTATAATTCTGTTCAGAAAAACTGCAATTAGTTATCTGCTAATTAAAAATGTTGTTTGTGTGTCTTTCACTGTACATCACATATTAATAATAAAAGGGGTATTTCAACAAACCATCATTAAGTGTTTTATAAAATCTTAAAGTGTTTTATAAAAAGTTTAATTTTAGTTAATTTTGATCTGTGAGAAAATCTTTAACTGTATGTTAATTAAAAAAAAAAAATAATTTTGAAAAATTACCAGAATCTTTTTTGTTTGCTTTTGTCTTTAAACAAGAGCGTTGCCTAAGTGACTTCCAATCAGATCTTTCCTTATTCCCAAGTGAGGTATTGCGACTTAATGGCAAAGTTTTGTTTTTCTTATGAAAATCTTCTCGATGAGATGAAACTAAAATTAAAAACAATAAAAATAAAAACATATAAACAAAACTTATAAAGTTTTTAAGTTTAATTTTACCCCTTTTTTAGCCTACTCGATTATTAATAACACCTCCCCATGACAGTGTTTATGTTTAAAAAAAGTGCATATGACTAAATGTTTCCTTGGCAAAGTACTTGTCTCCATAATAACAGATACTTAGTTTAATTATTAGTTCTTTACTATGAAACGATAGTTATATAATTTATATTATAAGTTAATTATATTATATAATGTATATATTTTATAATACTGTATTATATTTTTATTTTTCTTTGTTTTAGCAATTAAAAGCTGGAACTTTATGCAATATGCATACTATTTTGATTTTCTTAAAGAACAATTATAACAAAAATATTTTTATCATATTTTAGGCTCTCAATAAATTAAATATACACATTTTTACAATTTTATTTTTTTGAGTAATAATATCGCTACATTTTGAAAAATATACAATAATTTTCAAAACACCATACTCTAGCTAGAAATAATTGATGACTGCCATTTCTCATCAAAAATATGTTAAATATGAGTCGTAGAAGTATAATATTTCACATGAAATACTCACAATCAATTTATTTTCATAAAAATAACTACATGAAACTGACAAATTCGCAACATCTGTGCGTGACTTCCGTGCGTGATCATTCATAAACTGCATTTAAATGATTGCTGTGACTCTATGATTCATAGTGCAATCTGGAAATCTTTACTAATGTTTAAAATATTATTTAAAAAAAAAAGTATACCGGTAAAACTTAAAACTTTATTTAACTTTTTTAAAACTTTCTGAGGAATTAAAGTTTATTTATCTAGTAACTAAAATAGAAGTTTTTCTGTTCCGTGCGTGATTCCATTTCAAACTTTATTTATTCTTTGTTAACATTACTAATTCTTACTATTTTTTGTTTACAAAATATTTATATTGATTAGAATTAAATGAGAGTAAATTGAAGATCGCTAGTTTTATTTTTATGAAAATAAAAGTAAAAACATATACGAGTTTCTGTGCATGATTTTTTTCATTGGAAATGCCCATATGTAATGAGTGCTTTTAATCCATTACTTTATTAGGAGGTCATACTTGTACAAAGGATTTTGGAACTTCCTGAACCAAGAAGCAGGAGAAAAATAAGGAATTTTTCTCAGCCATAGACCTTGATTTCTTTAAATTGGAAACTTGGATTTTTATTGTGCAGCCTGATATAGTGGTTACCATGCATTTGATATAGTGGCTTACTCTTGTTTTAATAAGATACTCATTGCATTTAAAAATTAAGATATGGATATGGATAAAAGGATAAAAGCGATATATGGATATGAATATGGATATGAATAAAAGCGATAGATAACTTTCTTGATTTTTTTATTGCTTTAGATATAAAAACAAAGAGTAAAAAGATGCAAATATTATTTTGCAATGTAAAGGAGCTCTGTAGAATGCATGGCTATGGATTGGGAATTTACAGTGAACAGACAGAAACTATTCACTCAAGATTCAGTGAGTTTTTCAGATATAAACTGTCAAATGATTTCCATAAAGAAACATACAAAAAGGGTCTATTGTGTGTTTTTCTTTCATATAACATAGACAGAACTTATGTATTATTATGTTCAGCTTTTATCCCCTTTCAAGCTAAAAACTATATTTTTATTGATTTTGATAAAATATAGATGTTATTTTAAATAATGGTATTTATTCAGGGTTTAATTTATTAGCTGCAAGTTTATGCCTTAAAACTTTTGAAAGTATCAATATGCATATTATTCCACTGTTTATAAAAAAGCCTTCTTTGAATAATAAATAAAATAGAGTCAGAAAGAGCCTAAAACCTTTTGGTTTACCAAAGATAGGGCAGCATAAAAAATTCTGCAATATAGCTTTCTTACAAATGATACAAGTTTACAAATACAACACAGTAAAGTTACTAATGTACTGATGACATCACAGTAAATTTACAAATACATCACAGTAAAGTTACTAATGTACTGATGACATCACAGTAAATTTAAAAATATATCACAGTAAAGTTACTAATGTACTGATGACATCACAGTAAATTTACAAATACATCACAGTAAAGTTACTAATGTACTGATGACATTACAGTTTTACAAAACAAAATTACAACAGTTGTTATAATCTTTTTTGAGAGACAAAATCAAATTGAAAATTCAGGAATAAAGTGAAACATTTATATGATGAAATTTTATATAGTAGACAGGTGTTACTAAACTAAAGTCAAATATAAAAATATTAATATATTTATAAAAAATAATAATTTTAAAAAGTAACAATAAAAACAAAACCAAATTAAAAGGTAATAGAAAATTTGTGTTCAATCAAATAATCTATAAAGCTTGTATAGCAAATAATTTCATAATTAAAAAACAAAATTTAAAAAAAGTTTAATTTAAATTATATAATTTCAAATTAAAAAATTAATTAGTTGGAAGTTATTTAAAAATCAAATTGAAAAATTAATTTAAAATTTAAATTATAAAAAACTTAAAAATAATTGTCAAAAAACATTTTTAGTTGCTTCTTTAATTTGAAATTATAAAACTTAAAAATAATTGTCAAAAAACATTTTTAGTTGCTTCTTTTGAAATCTAACAAAACTTTTGAGAAACTTTTCTTTTGATAATATTAGGTTAAATGTTTAAGAGTCTTGAGGGACCCCTAAAAATATTTTTTATTTAAAAATTTTTAAATTCAGTACTTTTAATATTTTATTTTATTATATAGAACTTTTATTATATAAATTTTTACTACAATAAAAAGCAACATTAACATAATATTTCAAGTTGCAATTTATCAAAAGATAGAAAAAGCTTAGAAAGTTTTTTAATTTCTATATAACGAATAAGCTAGAATTAAAAATAGAGATAACAAATGCGTTATTTACAACAACAAGAAAAACATGATGAACAAATTCAAATTTAAAATAAAACTTGAATCAAAAACTGAAAAAAATAGTTTAACTTTTTAATGTTTATTACATTTAAAACAAAATTGTTTGAATCATTGTGTAGAGGTTAGAGTTCAGAACTGTGGATCAAATCAGACTTTAACTTTATATGCATCCTTGGTAATAAAGGAAGCATGAATTTTCTGGTTAAATGCTAATATTTGTCTGTGATAAGACCACTAGGAGCTCTTGGAGCACCTAAATAATTAATATATATTTGATTCATCACTAAAAAGTTTCACTGGTCCAATTTTGATGTGCTTTGGCAAACGCAAGTATTAGCTTTATTTTCTTTGTTTGAGTTATAGTTTTCTTGGGATTTGTGAAAATAATTTTGCTTTATTAGCTCTGTTGCAAAAAGGAATTGAAGGCTTTTAGTTAAAGTTTTTCTGTTAATTTTGTGGATTTTTTTTTATGCCATATACCAAGAGTTTTTTTTTTTTTTTTTAAATCATTTATTTTTAGTTTGAAAAAATAATAAATCAGATGTTGCGATATCTATTTTATCATTTTAAAGGAATGTTATGTTAAGTGAAAACAAAAGAATAACAGGTGGTTACTAAAAATCTAGACTAATTTGTGGCATTTAAACTGACTTTTAAATGCCACAAATCTTTTTTCTTACCTCATCATGTCACATTCCACAATCAATAAAAACAGCACCCACTACTCTAGTAACAGAGACAAGACTCCACCAAGCGTTAAATATTGCAAAAAGTGTAAGTTCAAATCCAAAATGCTTATCTGACTGCTTCTGGCAAAGATATTTTCAAGCCATTTTTTGTTCCCAGCAGCGCCATCTACTAAAGGGATTGTATCAAGCAAAAATAAGTGCTGTTCATCAATGCCCATCCTGCTGATGGCAATTATGTATTTTAGCTGGACCTAGCCTCACCTATACCAAAACCCTGACCAACAATTGCCATGACACAACAAAACTGTGAGTTAAAAATTGACCTTGACATGGTATTTTCATATTTTCAGTCAAAAAAAATCAGTTGGGTATATCCCAAGAAACAAACTGGTTAAAAACAAACATAATTAAAATAAAAAAAGAACTAAAAACCTTATTTAATAAATTTAAGAAACTGTATTTTTTTCAGTTTTTGATCAAGTCTTGTTTCAAATTTAGCTTTTCCATTATGTTCATACATACATACACAGCCCTTGGAATTAAGGTTGGCATTCGGCAATGATGACCTAACTGCCGACCTTAAAGTGCTTGAGGTCAGTAAAAAATTGCTGACCTTGTTTCTATGTTTTATGATAAGACCTTTATATTAAATTTTATTTGCCGACCTTTAAAAGAATGAGATCGGCAATTTTAATTGCTGACCTCAATTTTCCTTATTCCGAGGGTTGCATACATATGCAGTGACGAACCTAGAGTTTATTTGGGGATACCGCTTTTTTTTCCGACAACGTTGGGCAGGTGGGGCGGGTGTGATATTTTTGAGATTACTACCCACCATCTTCTCCCCAAGTTAATCGATGCTGTGACAATGATTTTTAATTATCATTTTAATAATTTCCGCTTATCTTATTTAGTTTTATCCGAAGATAAGGTGTTGATTTAAAGGCATTTCTTTGAATACATGAATTTACCGGTGAGCATAATCATGTTACATTAGTTACGATAAGAAAACTATTTTAATTAAGAATTTAACCACGCTATTTGCAAATAAGTATTGAAAATTGGTTAAAGTATTTTAAACATTTATTAACTATATTTTATTAAATTTAATATTACTAGTCATTAATGTTTTAAATAATTAGTAATTAAATGTTTAAATACTTTAAACAATTTTAATCAATATTTACATTACAATATATTTATATATATTTAATTGGGTAATATTTGTAAAATTAATAAAATTTTACGTCTTGTATTCAAATAACTACTTGAACAAAAAAATAAACATTTAATAAACGTGTTTACCATTATTTTAATTTTAATTTTGATTTAAATATTAGCTAATTTGTTCATTTAACTTTTACTAAAGGTTAATAATTTTTAAAGTAATTTTATGGCGTCTTTTAAATTAAAGATAATTGAAAAAGATATAATTACAGTAAATGTGATTTAAAAAATAATATTTTTTTGATTAAAAACATATTAATTTTAAAAAATTACGTTTAATAAATAAGTTACATTTACTACACATTTTTTAAACATTAAAAACATTAAAGTTTAAAAATAACAGGATCTTAATAAAACTTTTAATTAAGTTTTTGTAATTGTTATTTTTATTAAGTTATTGTAATTGTTATTTTTATTAAGTTATTGTAATTGTTATTTTTATTAAGTTATTGTAATTGTTATTTTTATTATTAGTCAAAAAGAATATGGAAAAGAAACAAAACTTTCTGAAAAGGTTTACTTTTCATTTTCCTCATGTAAACTAAAATAAAAAGGTAAAGATCAAAAGTTCATTC